CTATAGCAAATGTTATAACCCATCAACTATTTCAGCAACAAAATATAAGGTGTAAAAAAGAATTTTAAACACTAGCGCATTCTGTGACTGGCTCACACTCCTGCATATTTGCTTTTTTAATAAAACCTTGGCGACAGCTGGTCCATATATATGGGATGTCTACTTCAGTATCCAATAGTTGATGCCCTTACCTACCTACCTGTTTTTAGCGAATTTCCCTATAGGGAAGTAGCTATTACCGTAGGTCTCATGGTAAGACTTAGGCCCGGGACCGATTTACTTTTTCATTTTAATGTCCCCAGAGGCCAAAAACACCATTCGTTCAAATTTTTATATATGTATATATATATATCTAATATATAAAATTCTCGTGTCACAGTGTTTGTCTGCAAACTCCTCCGGAACGACTTCACCGATCGTTATGAAATTTGGTGTGTAAATTCTGTAGGTATGCGAATCGGACGTAAACTATTTCCCGTTTCGAAATTCTTAAAAGGGCTCCGCCCCAGTGGCTCTGGAGTTTCCCATGTTATTCTTATGAGAAATGGAATTAATTAATCTTAACAGCTGTTTCAGTTAAACAAGTTGGTTCTGTTCTATGATGTTCAATAGCATTAAAGTTACAAGGATTACCAACAGGGTGCAGCACTATTATTTCTTTTACATTTATGACAACAGCTAATTTGCAACCAAAAGGTGAGTGAGCGTAGCGAACGAACTTCAACCTGGAGGCGAGTTAGCGTAGCGAACGAGCTAACCTGAAGGCAAGTGAGCGCAGCGAACGAGCTCCAACCTAAAGGTGAGTGAGCGTAGCGAACGAGCTCCAACCCAAAGGTGAGTGAGCGTAGCGAACGAACTTCAACCTGGAGGCGAGTTAGCGTAGCGAACGAGCTAACTTGAAGGCAAGTGAGCGCAGCGAACGAGCTCCAACCTAAAGGTGAGTGAGCGTAGCGAACGAGCTCCAACCCAAAGGTGAGTGAGCGTAGCGAACGAACTTCAACCAGGACGTGATTGAGCGATGCGAACGAGATCATCTTGAAAATTAAACGTAACGGTACTTTCTTTCCATCGGTCTGTCTTAGGGGAAACCTATAACTTAGGCGATACGAAGTTCGCCGGGTCAGCTAGTATATATATATATATATATATAGGTATATATATAGATTTATATATATACTAGCAGAGTACCCGTCCTTCGTACAGGGTTGGCATATAAGTATCAAATGCTTATAGCAGTTATGAGTGAGGACATGGTTTAAGAAATTTCGGTTCTTTTTGAAGTTCGTTCGCTACGCTCACTCACCTTTAGGTTGGAGCTCGTTCGCTGCGCTCACTTTCCTTCAGGTTAGCTCGTTCGCTACGCTCACTTGTCTTCAGGTTAGCTCGTTCGCTACGCTCACTCGCCTCCAGGTTGAAGTTCGTTCGCTACGCTCACTCACCTTTTGGTTGCAAATTAGCTGTTGTCATAAATGTAAAAGAAATAATGCTAGTGCTGCACCCTGTTGGTAATCCTTGTAACTTTAATGCTATTGAAAATCATAGAACAGAACCAACTTGTTTAATTGAAACAGCTGTTAAGATTCATTAATTCCATTTCTCATAAGGTTAACATGGGAACCTTTGCTCCAGAGCCACTGGGGCGAAGCCCGGAAGGATTTTTGGGATAAAAATATGCCTATATGTTAATCGGGAATATGAGCTATCATCATGCCGAATTTCAGCCCGATCCGACCAGTAGTTTTCGCGTTTACTTTTCCCATACACACAGACACCACCTCTTTTTTATAATAGTATAGATATATGTGTCCGTGAACACGATAACTTGAGTAATTTTTATCCGATTTTGATGAAATTTGGATTGAAGGTGTAAGGCAGGATAAACAGTGTTGGGGAAGCTACTTTTAAAATGTAGCTAGCTACAACTACTGCTACATTTCCAAAAAAGTAGCTTAGCTACAGCTACAGCTACAGTTCCGAAAAAGTAGCTAGCTACAACTACAACTACAATGAAATGTAGCTACAGCTACAATTTTAGCTACTTTTCCAATGACGTTAACTTTTATTCCACGCACATTAGGTAAATGTAAAATTAATTGCAACTACATTTTTATTGAACAAACATTTAAAAAAATGTCAGTATTGTATCTAACATTACTTGGAAAACAAATTATTCCTAGATTGTATTTAATTTGTTGGCATTATAAACCTAACATTAGAACAACAGAACCAAATAGTTGGGTATCCCATCATATTTAGTAATTATTTTTAAATAGGCCTATTGCATTATTTTTAAGCATCTTAAAATGTAATTTTCATTAAGTTCAAAGGACATACAACCAAACTATATTTTAAAAGCTAATTTTATTAATTTAATATAGATTCATTTATAGATGCTTTATATCAACAATTAAGACCAATAAAACTGCAAAAAGATTATTTAAAAATACTTTTTGTGTTACAGAGCCTAGCCTACTGAAATTGGAGTTTATTGCCTTTCTTTACTTTTAATGTTAAAAACAACATTGCTATAACTTTTAAAGTGATAAATTACTTATTCTACGAATAACACTTTTCAATGTCAAGAAATCGTCCTTTATTGTCATTATGCATAGGACAAATTGTGCTTCAACCTAGTTGGTAGAGAAAACAGTATTCAGCAACTTATCCTGAAATCGGCTTTTAATTTAAACATGATGAAATTTGTAAAGTAAAAATAACATGTAGGCCTACTTGGCTATGTAACAAGTTGGCTATAGTAGGCTTGTTCTTGCAAGGACTAAACAGATATATTCATAATAATTGAACTTGGTATTCGTCTTAAACCATAGCCTCAGTCATATACAAGAGCTGTTAGCAGGAGCAAACTATGTTATTTTTTCAATGTAAGTTTCATGTTATATGAAGATTTTTTCATTACAATTAATTATCATGTAGTCTAGGCATATCTTAAATCTCATCAGGTAATTTCCTCTTTGCTAATTTAGTAAACCTTTGAAAAATCTTCGTAATCTAACCAAGGAAGGGCTTGTGATGATAAACCACAATCAACAGCTGAAGCAAAGGTTGATAGACCAGCTTTATCATTATTTCAAGGTGTGTTGGTTTCCATTAAACCCCAAGTTGAAGCATTATCGATATAATAAAGAAACTAAATTGATTACTAATTCCCCTGTGTCCTGTCAATCACTTGCAAGCATTCAATTCAATTCAATAGCTTCTCTTGTCACCGGTACCGTTTAAACGTCGTCTGCATCTAGCGATTTTATTTTATCTGACAGTAATCATAGAGTAATAAATTAAGGAAATGAGAGCCAAAAATGTGGATAACACTCATTTAATGGCCTCTATGTCCACACAACGTTGTAATAGGGAATGAAACGGCTGCAACCAGCTGTTTGAAGCCGAGAAAGTAGGCCTAATTTTTTTGAAAATCTCAGTTGGAAAGAGGTTGTTTCACGTAAGGTTGAGGTTATGATAAAAATCACTATCTCAAACAAATGTTAATGTAGCGAGAAAAGTAGCTAAAATTCCGCTACAACTACTTTAAAAATGTAGCTAGCTACAGCTAAAGCTACAAAATCTTAAAAGTAGCGTAGCTACAGCTAACGCTACAAAAAAAGTAGCGCGCTACTGTAGCGTCGCTACTTGTAGCGCGCTACTTCCCAACACTGAGGATAAACTTGAATGAGTTCGCGATCCAGCATGATCGGACCATGGGAACAGGGTTTTATGGGGGGTTTTATGGGGTAAAAATTGGTTTTTCTCACTTTTTACCCTCAAAACACAAAATTTCCCAATTTTTCTCTAAACCTTCTTAAAGAGCTTAAAAAAACAAACAATTCAGTATATCAAAGTGTTTTTGTACGGTTATTGGTTACGGAGAAAACTAAAAAAATTGTAAATTTAAAATTCCCATGTTATTCTTATGGAGAATATTGTAAAATGTTGTAGTTTGCTTGTTTATGGATATATTTTGATCAAACTTGGCAAATTTATTTATTTTATAGTAAGCTATCAATATTTTACTAAAAACACACTACTTTATTAGTTTCCTTGTAGCAGCAAACCTAGGTACTCGTTAAACCTAATGTTATTTAAATAGATCAATTGAAAATCAATTCGGCCAAATGGAAATTCGCTTAGACGGCAGGTTTGCTGCGGCGGGGGTATTTTATATTATCAGACAGCAGATTTGAGCCTATTTTTTCTTACTTAGCTACACTATTATTTTATAGAATTTCACAATATTATCCATTCTAATGCAACTTCCAATAAAGGTTAATAAGTAAATGATCACTCCACACGATGGTGCTAGCCAACAGTGACGTAGCCAGGAGGGGGGGTCCTGGGAGTCCGGACCCCCCCCCTTCCGGTCTTAAATATAATATTTTTTTTGTTAAATTAAATGTAAAATTATATAATTATACTGTATTGACGTTGGGGTTGATTATTTTCAATGCCAAGAGAGCTAAACAAGATCGTTTTAGGGCCTATATTTTTAAATTTTTTCCCTAACCCCCCTTTTACCTGGTCCCCCGGTCGGTTGACCCCCCCTATTTTTAAATCCTGGCTACATCACTGTAGCCAATCAAAGTGATTCACACCAACACCATTTGCATTGTTGCGGTAGACAAGTCTGTACGTGCTGAGGAAGGGGGGAGATAGCTCCGTCAACATTATAGCATTGTTGTAGCGTATTCCAAAAGTGACCCGTAAGTTTACCATACTCTGGCTGACTTCACCAGTCCCTTTCTGTAAACAACTTTCTGGAAAGAAGCTGCTTACTGTGTAGTCTGGCAAAGAATATTTAAACCAAAACATTGTTAAGTTGTTAAGTTTTTAAATTTCAGTTATTTCTTGGGGGGGGGGGGGAGGCAACCAAATTTCATGTACAATAGACGAGACATTTAATGTCTTGATTTATTGGTGAGAAATCACTTTTGTCCATCATGAAATTTTTGACAGTTTCAGTTTTATTTCATATTTGTTGCTTGTTTCAGTAAAATTGGCTTTGATAATCCGACACCAATCCAGGCGGTTGGTTGGCCAATAGCTATGAGTGGCCTTAATATGGTTGGTGTTGCACAAACAGGTTCAGGGAAAACTTTGGGGGTGAGTAGTCGACAAGAGATTTTAAAAACTAAGCTTTATAGATTTAGAGGGTTTCCAACAGCAAAATCATCCATGGTAAAGTGGCATTAGTTGATACTGTGTTGCACCTACAGTTTTAAATATTAAAAATTTTAATACAGTACCAGTTGCAAGTTTAGAATGCATTATATTTTTTACTAAATAATGAAATACTTCCTTCAATGAACCTGAAACTTTTATATTTTCTACAACATTTGTTAAATTGCACACACATCATTTTTGTGTGTAGTTTCTAAACTCAAGATTTCATTTCAGAAAATTTTTTTGTGTATTTGCCAGTTTATTGATATGTGCCAATTAGCTTACTTTTGTTTATCGTGTGTGGTTTTGTGTTGGAAACCTTTTACGGTCTTCTATCAAGTAAGGAACTCATCAAGTTGTTATCCCTCCCCAATTTTACATAGGTATAATTTTTTTATAGTTTCCCCTTCTTTTCCAGGGAAGACATTTTTATCTTCATTCTACAAGTCATAAAGACTAAAATATTTAAATTATTTTTTACAAATATTCCACTCTAGTTACCTAAAATAATCAAGTTCAATGGAAACTGGGAAAGAATAACAACTTGAAGTAATAATCAATATTATTTATAGGCCTACACAACGTACGGTTGTGACATGGTCGTTTATATTTATATTGTTGAAGTCAATAAGCATGTTTTGGAATTCATTAAGTATTTTAGGACTGTGCATGTTTCAAGCTAGCTTATAATTTCTTATGGTTTGGCTGTACTAAACTAGTCATGGGCTCTCCTCCCCCATGTGAAATCTCTAAAAACAAAATCTGTGCAGCTAAATTTTAAGCAATCCAAAGTGGATCTAGAACCTTTCTGGCCAGTGTTATTTTTTGTTTTGTGGGATTTAACAAGGGGGAATTTATTTGTTGTAAAAATGGAGTTGAGTAATATAGATAACTAAACTGTATAAATTCATTAAATGTATTTAATTTGTCAACCGTATTTTGAGCCACTTAGTAGTGTCACGGATATTTTATATATCAATCATCACAAAACGAATCATTAGCAAACTAGTTTAACATTTTTAACATAGTTTGTGGACGTAGTTTAATTTTCAACTCAACATACGCATGAATCAAAACCATTTCTTTTCACGGACTATAAAATGCTCATTATGTTAAAAATGGCTTTCCTTCTACAAAAAAAAAAAATGTTTACAAATTCAAGTGTAAAATACTACTAGGGCACTTTTGTAATCGCAAATTAAATATTTTTTAACAGAAAGCAAAGTTGACTAGGCTATACAAAATAAAATAGTAAAAAGATTATATGGATAAATAGGGCTAGTTGAACTTTAAGTGACCATACCATTCGTAATTTCTTTCTTTTAAAACTTTTAAGTGAATTGAATAGTTTTTGTTGTCGTCTAGATGATTTAGTACAAAAATATAGTTTTGACCATTAAAATGTTTTTTTAAACTTGATCTTTTAACAATTAGGATATAGGCTAATAATCATTATATCAATGTATAAATTATAAAAAGGCTAAGAGACCCAATTAAGAGTTTTCTACTCAGAGCTTGTGCATCAGAGCTCAACAAAACACAATCAACACAATATTTCTCTCTGGAGAAGCTACTGGTGATTTTATTATCACAAAAATATGCAAATGTCATATAATAAAATGCATATATAATGGTTTGGCTTTTAAATTAAATTTAAGTCTGACTGTGTTCAGTTTATAAGCCATTTTAGATAAAATTTGATGAAAATTTAGATTAAAATATAACTTGGACTATAAATTAATGACATTTTATATTGGGATAGGAAATAATTAGCTAGTGTTTATATGTTACAAGGGTTATAAACATTTCTAAATTGTGTAATCAATAAATTTTTGAAAAAATTGCAATCAACGTACATGGCCAATCAGGCCATGGTTATATTTTATTCTATCAAACATTTCTTCTCCAGGAAGAAAAGATACAGTAGCCTATCAGGTGAACAATAGCTTTCGTTACACTGAATGTTCCCACTGTGTGAAGTAATTGTTTCCAAATAAAATGAATTTATAGATAGGCAATAAATAAATTAATGACGTTAATGTGTTTTTACGGTAAAAAAAACAATAAAAGTAAGGCCTGAACAATTCAATTATAATGCAACCCATGCTTGGCTAGAAGCTCATTTAGCCATTGATTACAAAGTAATTTAAATCTGCTAAGCAGGCAAACTAGAGACTATATATAAAACAAATATTGGATAAATAGGCTACCATTCGTTAGTATGAATGTTTTTCATGTGCTATCGTTGGTTCAGAAAGCACAGGAAGTAGCTTGAACTTTGGCAGTGACTTTTTTAACAATATACAAATTAAGAAACAAGAGTAATGTTAAAAAGAACGCTCCAACATTTTTAAAAGAAGCTTATAATGTATAGCATAATGCAAGACGAAGATAGACCAACAAAAAGAAGAAATTTGTCACAAGACGATCATGTGTTTACATTAGTTTTCAAAAGAGATGTCCAAAGCAAATCTTTTTGTAGGAAACAGTTGAGCTAAGCCAACTTCAATGCCTATAGTATGTCTCAATCAACCTACTTATTTACAAAAACCAATAAAAAAAGTTCAATTTAGAAGAAAAGATCAATATTTTATATCACTAAGGGGGAGGAGAAGTGTCAAGACAATTCATTGATCATTATCTCTGATTTTTTTACCTTGTGGAATTGTATCCGACAATTTGTTTCTTCCAGCCGTCACTGTCAAAGCCAATTATCAGGCAGTTCTCAAACATGGCTAGTAAAAAAAGGAAAAACTCAAATGGTGGAAATTCTGGAAGTGGCGATGATAAAGACAAAGAAATCAGCATTGAACAAATGTATCAGAAGAAGTCCCCAGAAGAACACATTTTACTGAGACCTGATTCTTATATAGGATCTGTGGAACCAGTCACAGAAACAATGTGGGTGTATGACCCTGGAACCAAAGCGATGACACAGAAAGAAATCACTTATGTCCCTGGCTTGTACAAAATCTTTGATGAGATTCTGGTAAATGCTGCTGATAACAAACAGCGAGATCCTAAAACAAATTGTATCAAAATAGATATAGATGCTAAGAAAAATATGGTTTCAATATGGAATAACGGTAGGGGGATCCCTGTGGTGGTGCATAAAAGCGAGAAAATGTATGTTCCAACGTTAATCTTTGGACATCTCCTTACATCCTCTAACTACAATGATGAGGAGCAGAAAGTAACGGGTGGAAGGAATGGCTTTGGAGCAAAACTGTGCAATATTTTCAGCTCAGAGTTTACTGTTGAAACTTGCAGCTCTGAGTATAAACTTTGTTTTAAACAAACTTGGAAAAATAACATGTCAGTGGAAACAGAACCTATAATAACGCCAAGTGCAGACGAAGATTACACCAAAGTAACATTTTATCCAGATCTTCGCAAATTCAAAATGAACAAATTGGATGAAGGGATTCTAGATTTGATGAAGAGAAGAGCTTACGATGTTGCAGCTTCTACTAATGGAGTTCAAGTGTATCTAAATAAAAATCTTATACCTGTGACAAATTTTAAAGATTACGTTCAGTTGTTTGTAAAGACGAAAAAAGATTTAAACGACAACCAAGCAAAGATAGTTTATGAGAGAGTCAATGATCGGTGGGAGGTTGCTATGGCTGTATCTCCTGATGGATTTCGCCACATGAGTTTTGTCAACAGCATCGCAACCACCAAAGGTGGTCGTCACGTAGATCTTGTAGCTGAACTGATCACCAAACAGCTCATGGAGGTTTTCAAACAGAAGAAAAGAGGAGTAGATGTGAAGCCTTACCAAATCAAAAACCACATGTGGCTGTTCATCAACTGTCTTATTGTTAACCCGACATTTGATTCCCAAACAAAGGAAACCATGACACTTCAACCCAAAAGTTTTGGCTCTAAGTGTAGTCTTTCTTTAAAGTTCATCAAAGAAATTACCAAGTCCGGTATTATTGAAACTGTTCAATCTTGGGCTAAATTCGAGCAGGAAAGTCAACTTGAGAGGGCTTTGAGTGGTAAAAAACAGAACAAACTGAAAGGAATACCCAAACTAGAAGATGCAAATGATGCAGGAACAAGCAAGTCACTGGATTGCACTTTGATATTGACAGAAGGAGATTCAGCCAAATCCCTAGCTGTTTCAGGTCTTGGAGTCATTGGAAGAGATAAATACGGTGTATTTCCCCTCAGAGGCAAGTTGCTCAATGTACGAGAAGCTACTCACAAGCAAATACTGGAAAATGAAGAAATAAACAACATTATTAAAATTACTGGTTTGCAATACAAAAAGGTTTACAAGACAGTCGATGATTTGAGGAGTTTAAGGTATGGTAAATTAATGATAATGACAGATCAAGACCAAGATGGTTCCCACATTAAAGGATTGATAATCAATTTTATCCATTCCAATTGGCCATCATTATTAAAGCTTCAATTCCTCGAAGAATTCATCACCCCAATCATCAAGGCCTCAAAAGGAACACAAACTTTGTCTTTTTATTCATTAGCTGAATTCGATGAGTGGAAAAAGGGTGTAAAAAATTTACACCTATATAAGGTTAAATATTATAAAGGATTAGGTACATCTACATCAAAAGAAGCCAAAGAATATTTCTCAGATTTGGGACGTCATCGAATAATGTTCAGATACGGAGGTGTCAATGATGATAAACAAATTGAAATGGCTTTCAGCAAAAAAATGGTAGAAGCTCGGAAAGAATGGCTCACTGACTGGATGGCAAGAAGCAAAAAGAGAACAGAAGATGGTATTCCAGAAGACTATTTGTATACTAAAACAGTTAAGGATGTTACGTATGAAGATTTTGTCAACAAAGAACTTGTACTATTCAGCAATCTTGACAATGAAAGGTCTATTCCCAATTTAGTCGATGGGTTGAAGCCTGGGTCCAGAAAGGTTCTTTTCACATGTTTGAAACGCAGTGACAAGCGTGAAATCAAAGTAGCACAACTGGCGGGTTCTGTTGCTGAACAATCTGCTTACCATCACGGCGAAGTGTCTCTCATGCTAACTATCGTCAACTTGGCCCAGAACTTTGTCGGCAGTAATAACATAAACTTGCTTCAACCTATAGGTCAGTTTGGTACAAGACTACAAGGAGGAAAAGATGCTGCTAGCCCTAGATACATATTCACAATGATGAGTCCTTTAACCAGACTGATTTTTCACCCGCATGATGATCCCCTCCTTACTTATTTAAAAGAAGACAATCAAAGCATCGAGCCAATGTTTTATGTCCCTGTGATTCCGATAGTGTTGGTGAATGGTGCAAGTGGTATCGGAACAGGTTGGATGACTAAAATACCTAACTATAATCCTAGAGATATCATCACAGCTATTAGGAATATGATGGATGGAAAGGAGCCAACTAAGCTAATACCTTGGTACAAAGATTTTCAAGGAAATATCAAAGTTTTTACTAAAGATAGTTATGTCTGCACGGGTAATATTTCTGTAGTAAAACCTGATACAGTGGAGATCACCGAACTGCCTGTTGGTACATGGACTCAGGCTTATAAAGAGTCAGTGCTGGAAGTAATGCTGAACGGAGATGGTGATAAGAAACCATCCATTATCAATAGCTACAAGGAATATAACACAGACACATCGGTGCGGTTTGTAATCAAACTATCACCTGAAAAACTCAAGGAACTGAACTACAGTGAAGGGCTACACAAATTCTTTAAGCTGCAGTCCAACATAACCATCTCAAGTATGTGCCTTTTTGATCGTAACAGTGTTCTGAAGAGATACGATAATGTAAAAACCATTTTAAAAGAGTTTTTCGCAATTCGTTTGGAATACTATGAGAAAAGAAAAGCATACCTGACCAGTCTGTTGGATGCTGAAGCAAAAAAACTTATTAATCAAGCGAGGTTTGTTACTGAGAAATGCAATGGAAATCTTACAATAGAAAATAAAAATAGGAAAGCAATAATTGATGAATTGATTGAGAGAGGATACGACTCAGACCCCGTTAAGTCTTGGAAATTATCGCAAGATAATAAGGCGATTTCGACAGATAATGAGGAAAGTGGACCAAACTTTGAATATCTCCTTGGCATGAGCTTATGGTCATTATCAAAAGAAAGGAACAATGAATTGTTGAAGGACTGTGACCAGAAGAAAGTTGAACTTGCAGCCCTTGAAGAAAAATCAGCAAAGGATATCTGGAAAGAAGACCTTGATGCTATATGGAACAAATTAGATGAAATAGAAGGCAACAGTAGAAAAACGAATGACAAACAAACAAAACAACACACATAAATTAAAAAATAAAACATACATGTAACTGCCCCCAGACACAAGCAAACTAGGTATCAGTACTTTTGGTCCTATCTAGGTAGGTCCTATCTGTTTAAGATGAATCTTAATTGAGGTGAAGGATACTTAAACGCTCCTCACTAATCCTAAATATGGATGCAACGATAAATAAATTTGAATAAGTCCGTATAGCTTGCCGTCTCAACGCCAAACCAATGATTGAAATGAAATGAGTATCATAGTTTTTTATCAGCTGTTAAAAACTTGATCCTTCACGTTAGTATTTTTTCCTTCATAATTAACTTATTGTATGGATTTAAATCCCCAATTCTGAAGCTTCGGTCCATAAAATAATGGTACTTAAAATGCTCTCTTGGCTAATTGAAAAATATTGAAAAAGTACTTATTACTGTAAATTATTATTAAGGCCTTTATTAAATGTTTTTTGTGAAACTAAGCATTTAAAATGCAGTGTCAATAACGTTTAAATTAAAACCAGTTAGATATGAGAAATTATCATTGAGATTTGTACCAAATCAAAGTTACCAGTATTCATGGAACATTTCCATGTCAAATTGTACATACGTTTTGTAAAAGTAGTAAAATTTGTACTTTTGTAGTATAGGTGTATTAAATTTTTGTGTACAAATAAATAGTTAGTGTTTTAAATCCCCCCACATTGCAAGAAAACCCCCATTATTATATAGCCTTCCATTTGAAATATTGTTCAAGAGGCTTGTCAATTCAATCAAACTATGTTTACTGGTCTCCATAGGAAAGAATATAATGAAGTTAAAAATTATCCTTGAACTACTTGGTATAAATAAAATTGTTTACACAGTATTTCAGTCCAAATATTATTGTTTAACTGGTCTATAATTTTGAACACAGTGTCCCTCTCATAAGTATGTAAATACTCAAATGCTATTGTAATTGATGTAAATAAATATTATTGCTTTCTGTAGCCTAAGATTAATTAAATTTCTATAATGAACTTTAAAGATTGATTTTAAGATTTTACAGAAAAAAGTAAATATTGTAAAATCAAGTTAAGCTAGTGTTTTAAACCTATAAATCGTTTCTTTTAACAAAATTTTGTTTACACATTGAGCTTTTTCTCTCCATAAAATAGAAGTTTTCACATTTTTCTAGTTCCAATGTTTAAAGGAATGTTAGTAAAAATTTAAAAAAAAATTGTAATGCAGCTTAAAGCTCTGTTTTTTTTTTTTTTTTTTTTTTTTTTTTAACACCAGTTTATAACAAACCAAAGTAAAAAAAATGCCAGCGATGAAGATTCAATTCAAAGGTCCTTTGATCTCAAATTGATTTGGAAGTTGATGTGACCATTGAAGTCGGGAAAATGAAGTGGTAAGTTGAAAGACGCTGTCAAAGGCAAGGAGTGGGATGAGCGGATCTCTTTCAAGGCTTTCTCGTAAGGTAAACCATTCATTTACTTAAATTTATTGTTTGTTTACTTTAAAATACAAAAAAAATTCAAACAAAAAAGACTAAACAATGACAATTTTATGCAAACACTTTTTTGAATAATTGGTAAACTCGATTAATTTTGTTATGAAAATAGATGATTAGGTCTATTAGGAAAATAGAGGTTTTAAGAGATAGAAAAAAAAATTAAATGCATAACATTTAAAAATCAGTAACCCTTAAGTATCTTTTTTCTTTGTTACAAAACAATCTAAAATTTGATTTGATGCCTACAAATATTTCAGATTTTGGTGTATTCAAATTTTAATGTTGATTTTTTGAAACAGCCAAACCATAAGTTAACAAAGATAAATCTTTAGAGTTTGGTATTTTCTCATTTTTACATGGAGGCCTTAATAAATTGGAAATTTGTATACAGTAGACTCCCTCCTAACCGACCTCGCATCAACTGATTATCGGATTATCCGCCCCCACTCGTAAAATATTACAGTTTGTTTTAACTGATCTTGTTTTGAGAGCAGTTCTGTCTGCCTCTTGAAATGTCGGCATTTCCGCTCCCACGCTAGCAATGAAAACAATACACTAAACTCTACAGGATATAAATAAACATCCTGTCTCGTAACAAAATGGTTGCTTTTATATTTAATTTCGTCAATACGCTCTGTATTGTATTACGATGGATTTGGAAAACATCAGTAAGGTACAGGGTTTTCATTGACTCAGGCCTACGACGATAATTTATTCCACTGAAAGTATTTGGCTTTCCAGTGTTTTGGGTTAGTTTGTGACTTTTCTATTGTCAATAATTTAAGAAAAAGGGAGATAAGTGTAGTTTATTTTGTAAATAATACACTCATGACTTCAGAAAAGTGATTATATACAATTCCAAATGCATAGTACTTAATTTTTTTCAAGTTTTTAGGGATTGCCCGTTTTAACCGACCTTGGTTAAGAGGGGGTCTACTGTAGAAGGTTTTAGGTAAGAAACAGGAGGTACCTTAAAAGGAGCTAATTTGTTGAAAAAAATATGTTTTCATGGTATCTAATTTTATAATTTAAATTTTTAAATTTTTTTCTGAATCATGTTCTCTTTTCAATGTCTCTTTTCAGACAACTTTTGTTATCTTTTTAACCATCAGAGTAATTAGATTTTTTTTTTATTTTCTCTATTGATTGTATTGTTGTAGGTATTCTGCTTCTTAACAATGCTATTGTGTACAAAACTGTTCTTAAATACATAACTTCTAAGTATCTGTCATTATGTCTTTACAATATTTTTAATAAATCTAAAAATATGTTTTTGTTTAATGTGTTGAAGATTTTTTTACTGTAGAAAATAAACCACTTATAACTTGCTTTTAGGAGTGCCTCTAAAAATGTCCCTTAATTTTTGTAAAAAAATAGGCAATTCATTGTTTTATAGAATGTTAGCTGATATACCTCTTTAAACTTGTGTTTTTATACTTGAAATTATCTTTAATGTTACTTTTTGAGTAATGTTCAATTATTAATGGTTTATTGTTATTGGATGTGCATTCAATTAATGGTTTTCAAATTGTCGACACTGGTGGCTAAAATAATTATTTTTGCTCAAATTTATTTCTTACTACTATTGTGTTTTTTTTTTTACAATGTTATAATTACCTTTGTGTGTTTTTGTCATAGAGCAATGATTTTATATTATAAAGCAGGGGTCTCCAACCTACGGCCTGCAGGCCACATCCGGCCCACGAGCACAATTCTCCTGGCCCGCAGACAGCCAGCGGGCCTATGACATAAACTTCTTTTTATGGCAAATACCCGCCACCTTTTTTTCTTCCACGACCACCTGTGTTCTGGTAGTATTGTCAATACCATGACCGTTTCCCGTGAATGCGATAACACTTATTGCCCTTTCTTGCTGTCTCGGCAAAAACGTAATCGTCTCCTAAGATCAAGGCAAACTCGTGACCATACCACTTAGTCTCGGCAATACCATGATCGTGGCAACACTCGTCAAAGGTGATTGTGATTTCCATGCGACGTTAAAAGAGAATATTACGCCATTAATGAGTGGATGATTGGTCATAGAAATTGACGGTACTCCCAACCTTACCAGATTCAAGTGTAATTCACTGTCTTTTTCCCATTAAACAAAATTCTGGTACAATTCCCAGTCTCCATGTTAGCTGGCTACCATGTTTAAATATGAGTAGAGTATGTCTCTCACTTTCCATTTTTTTCCTGGAATTTTAGCTAACCAACAAGCTATATAAAGCCTATATGTATAAGGTAATATAGGAAAAACAGAAAGGAAAATCCCAAAAAACACCATTAAACTCTTAATTAATTAACGATTCTATAGGTTTATGAGGAGGGGGTTAACTTTCTGCTCTGAATTATGACTTAAAAAATAATATTGAAATATGACACCTTCCCTTCAAAAACTTACAATGCAACCATCAAGGAAAAAGGTGGGAGACGCCTGTTATAAAGGACTACTTCAACAAAAATACATATTGTATTCTGTAGGTTTTATGTAAGCTTTCAACTTTCAATTTTACATCATGAGTTGATTTATCATCAAAACATAGAAATCATCAAGTAGCTTGCAAATCAAATTTTTTGTAGTGTGTTATGTTTCCACCAGAATTAACCTCTGTTAAAATATACACAATACCCTTTTATTAAAGCATGGGGCACTCCTAGGGTTAAGTTATTTGTGCTAATGTTTAGTGTTGTTTTTATTTTATTTTTCTTTTTACTATTTACTTTGATTAGTAGCAATTATACCAAAGAATTCAGGTGAAAAAGGATAACAACTATAGCTGAAAGTTTTCCAGGAATTAAATTGTTTGTGTCTCCACACTTGTTAATTGCTCAATTTTTGTCATTTTTGCACAGTTTTTTTAACGTTTCTTGTAAGAAAACAATAAACGTTATACTAGCAAGAGTTATATATTGATTTGACCATCCAAATTTATTGACGACCTAAGTTCAAATATAAAATGGTCGGTTAAGATGAATTACAGCTTAATGATACTCAAACAACTCTCTTTTTCATGTGACTTCCCTCAGTTTAAATAAAGTTAACACTTTTTTTAAATGGAAAGCCTTGGTATTTTAGATTCTATTAAAAGTTATATTTTACGCAACCTCACTGGTGTGTTGTTCACACAGTACATCCTACCAGCTACAGTGCACATCAACAATCAAGAACCGTTGCGTCCCGGAGACGGACCCATCGGACTAGTGTTGGCGCCGACTAGAGAACTGGCGCAGCAGATACAACAAGTGGCACGTGACTTCTCGGCTGGACTGAAGTCTTGTTGTGTGTACGGCGGTGCGGGCCGCGGACCTCAAGCGCAGATGTTGGAACGTGGTGTGGAGTTAGTGATAGCCACGCCTGGCCGCCTTCTGGACTTCCTGGAGCGAGGTTAGTTGACTGTGGTAGTACATAATTACATTAGAGTCCCGATTATCCGACCTTAGGAAGTGTTATCTGACCCTTTCTGTGAACCATTGAGTACCAAGTCACATGATATTTTCGTGTGGTATGATGGAACACTGCAGGTACCATGGTACAACTACTTTTGCCACTAAAGTTTGTATTTGGAAGATACGGCAGGTTAAGGGCAACTTAACTTGTCTGAATTGGTTGATTGTATTTAGCAAGCTGAATACCACATAGTTTGTCAACTCTTAAACCTGCTTACCTCTTAGCTACCTCTTGTGTCTTGGAGACCTTTGGCAGAGTGGACGAGTATTGCTTTGTGTTACGTTTTCTTCTATCATGTTTCTCCCGATTTATCAGCATTTTTGCTTGTAGGTGTGACCAATCTGAAGCGCTGTACGTATGTGGTCATGGACGAGGCTGACAGAATGCTTGACATGGGTTTTGAACCCCAGATCAGAGCTATCATGGAGCAGATCAGGGTAAGTTTTGTTAATTTTTAGGAATATGAAAGGGTTAAACCATTGAATTGTGGCGTTAGACAGTACAAGATTTGGACCAGTGCTTTGCAATAAAGGGTTATGATTTATCACATGAAAAATCCATTGTCATAATTTTAAGCGTAACAAAAAGAGATTCCTCATTCTCTAAGATCATGAGGATTATGAGTTGTGATAGTTATACATTGTGTTGTTTAGGATTACTGCCGAGTGTGTCAGACTATGAAATTTCAGATTATTGAGAGCCAACTGTTTGTTATACTTTAGTTGTTTTTTAATATCTTCGGCGTGTACATTATATACAAGACAGATCACAAAAATGTAATGAATGGTGAAATTTCTGCTGTTATAATTTTGTTCCTAGCAAAAAGATATGCAATCAAACATAGGGTGTTTTGCTGTTACAGCCAGATAGACAGGTGCTGATGTGGTCTGCAACATGGCCCGAGG